TATACACAAAGTGTAAAAAAACGTGTAAAAAATTATTCTTCCTTTTCTCCCTCCTTCATTATATAAATCAAATTTCTTCCATTACATTGTTTCGAATTCATCTCCAAAAGAACTGATTTAGTTAATCCAACATAAATCTGGAGAAGCTACACTCGACACTTTTTCTTCGTATTCCTCTTGTTTTTTATAAATCCGTGCATACGCACATGAATGAATAAGCAATTGGTGCATATATTTTTACTAATGATCTAATTAGATATTAAATTGAAAATAACTTCGTAGGATTTTGCATTTTTGAAAAATAAGAGTACAATATATCAACTAATACCAAAAAGTATAAGGTCATACAATAAATATTCAATGAAGACTATATTAGGAAATATTAATTGACACCACTCATTAAATTTGCTACTTATGAATTTTCATGATTAAATTAATTTTAAAATTAAATATTATTCTAAAAGAGTGAGTACAATAAGTGAGTGACATAAAGTTTAAGTAAATACAATACATATTAAAATTAACAAATATTAGTTCAATAAGAATTTGCTACTCATTAGTTAAATTAGTACTAACATATGAGAGAGAAAATTAGCATGCTCAATTCTTAGCCAAGTTATCTTATAGCTAAAAGAACTAAATATGAGAGAAAGTTCTCTCACTCAATTGTAAGTCGAATTATCTTATACCTAAAAGCACTACGTATGAGAGAAAAATTTTACTGCGTAATTGTCAGTCGGTTTATCTTATACATTGAAGAATTATATTTATGAGAATTCACCCGCTCAATTTTTTTCAATTTTATCTCCTAACATATAATAATATAATACCTAAAAGCACTACATATGAGAGAGAAAATATTTCCGCTCAATTGTTAGCTGGATTGTCTTATACTCTCTCCGTCCCTTAAAACTTTATCAACTTTCATTTTTTGAAAGTCCCACTGACTTTGTCACTTTCCCTTTAAAGTAAAGAATTTGTGGTTCCAGTTAATTTTCTCTCATCTGCACAAAACTCAACTACACAGTTTTATTTTATTCATCCACGTGGCGGTCAAACTTGACAAAATTTTAAGAGACAAAGGTAGTACTTAAAAAGAACCACTTATGAGAGAAAAAAATATCTCACTTAATTGTTAACAAGTTTATCTTCTTAGCTTCTTATTATTATACCTAAAGGCTAAATGGCCAAATAGGCCCTTGTACCGGTCATGTAAGCTCAATTCAGTCCCTCAACTAAAAAAAGGTTCAATTCGCACCCCGAACTGACAAAAAATGGTTCAAATTTTATTTTTTTTTATAGGTAAACGACCGGTCATTTTTTTATTTTTTTATTGTTTCTGTTTTTTTATTGTAATTTTGACATTTTTTAATAGTTTACAGGTGTGCATTGGACAATTTTTTACCGTTTGTTTACCTATAAAAAATGAAATTTGAACCCTATTTTGCCGGTTCGGGTGCAAATTGGACCTTTTCTAAGTTCAGAGACTGAATTGAGCTTACACGACCGGTACAAAGCCCTATATGACCCTTTAGCCATACCTAAAAGCAATACATATGAGAGAGAAATTTATCTCACTCAATTGTTAGTTGTCTTAACTTATACTTAAAAGCACTGCATGTTAGAGACAAATTTCGACCGCTCAATTGCTAGTCGACTTATCTTATCTTATACTTAAGAGTTTTACATATAAGAGAAAAAATAATCACTTTGAATTGTTCGTCGGCTTAACTTATACCTAAAAGCACTATAAATGAGACAGAATTGAAAATTCTTCCACATCTTTCACAAATGTCTAATGATTCACCCAATAATAACAATTTTATTTCCCTCTTCTTCCACATCTTCATTACTTATTTACATAATTCCGTTTTAATTTTTCTTTAATTTCTACCCTTAGATTGTTAGTGCTTGAGTTTTTTGTTCATGCAGAGTATATCTTTCCAATTGCAAGAATTTCTGCTATGTAGATTTGTTATTACTCCGTAAGAATAGTGTGAACTTTTGATTCACAAGTTTATTTTCATTTTTCTAAATTCAGTTTGATTTGGCTTCTTATTCCAGTTGGTAATCTACTATAGTGTTTCTTTCATGGTCCATTATATTGTAAGGGGTATACTTTTTTGTTCAAATATTCTTCGAGTTGCTAGATTAGGAATCATCTAAAACTCTTTCGTAAGTCTCTGACATTTGTATGTACAAAATTGGAAGGTCACAATAAATAACCAAATTCAAGTATATTAATATTTTTGAGAGAGAAAATTATCACATTCAATTGTTAGCTGTTTAATATTCTTATACCTAAAAGTACTATATATGATAGAGAGAATTCTCACACATTTTTCACAAATATGTAAAGATTCACACAATAACAATTTTATTTCCTCTTCTTCAACTTCTTCATTACTTAATTACATAATTCCGATTGAATTTACTTTCTACCCTTAGATTGTTGATGCTTTGAGTTTTTTTGTTCATAAAGAGTATATCTTCTGCTATGCATATGTATTATTATGAATAGCGTGAACTTTTAATTCGAAAGTTTGTTTTCATTTTTCTAAATTCAGTGTGATTTGACTTCTCGTTTCAGTTGGTAATCTACTATAGTGCTTCGTTCATGGTTCATTATATAGTAAGAGATGTACATTTTTTTGTTCAAATATTCTTTCATCTGAAACTCTCTTGTAAGTCTGTCATTTGTATGTACAAAATTGGAAGTCCACTATAAATAACTGAATTCAAGTATATTAATATTTTTGAGTCACATACTTGTTATAATGAAATTATTTCAACATGTTGATTTTTAAGATTCTCATTCTTTTTTTAAATTCTCTGTGACACTGACAATTTTTTTTACTGTGCAAAAAGTTGTTCTCTTCATAAAACGCTGATCAAATTCTTTGTGCATGGACATTTTGATCGACGTGTAAAATACCGTTACAAATAGCATTAATGTATATGAAAAATTGAGCCTCAATTCTGATTTCTAGGAAGTGTATATGTAGTAATGTCACATTAGAAGGATCGCATATATGAAGAAGTATGAGTTTTATCGAGTATTTCTCAAATATTCTCAGAACCCGTTTGGTGACCAGTCTTTGAGCTTAGCTTATTAGTCAACATTTTGATTAAATACATAATTTTTGGTTTGCACGTTATGTTGTGTAATAATCAAAATAAATAAGGTTGGAGTAACTTTTTTTGGTTGATTTGGCAGAATTTACCGTAGAGTACCATTTTATCTATTTTCATATACTTGGACCAATTCAGCTAAAATAGTAACATTAACCCTATTTATTTTGGGTATCACACAATTCAGAACGTGAATCATAAGTGAATTTGATAAAAAATTGGTTGATAAGTTTGATAAATGCAAAATGAAAGCTATCAATGGGAAATCACATAGAATTGTGGCGGCTTAATATAATCCTTTTGAATTAGAAAACACAAACTTGCAAACTCTCTTCAATGATTCACTACTTAAATATGGAATGTTAAAATACTTGCAAAATTTCGATATAATACTTCGATCCTTATATGTCTGATCTAGATTGTAATGAAATTCCAGTATGTCATAGTATTTTACTGATACTATAGGTATTTCTTTAATGTTAAATCTTGTTAAAAAAATTATTCATGCTTTATCATATCGAAATCTCAATATATTGGAGTTTTGGTACAACGTAAGGTATAAGATAAAAGGAATATTTGGTATATTGCACCAAACTAAACTTAATTATATACAGTATAACTCTTTTGAGTACAAATTATATGGGAGGTGATTTGCTTGGAATAAATAAGATCATTTTACTTCATTTTTACTTGTCATGTATTTCTTTTTGAAAATTTTTATTATAAATTTGTCCTTTTTATATTTGAAACATTTACGTAATATTTTAAGGTTTGAATATGTTTTAGACCATGCAAATAAGACACACTATTTTCATTCTCGTAATATATGCACTATTTTATTTTTAGTTTATCTCTAGTTACGAAATCACTCTACTTACAAAAAAAAGTTATTGCGAGATGCATAAACCTACTAGAATAATTTAAATTTGTTCTTTTATAATTTTTTTTGAAGCTTATATGAGAATTAAAACAATGTAAAACTAAGAATTCACATTTTAAACATTAGAAATTATTCCAAATAGGACTAAAACTATAGCAAAAACTCAAAATAGGACTTCTAGGTTTTTCTTTTCAAAATAGGACCATATTAGTCCTATTGGAAACATACCTATTTTTCATTCCATTCTTACCCTTCCTTTAAATATGAGTTAATTAAATGTTTAATTCATAATAAATTCAAAAATAATTCAAAAATTCGTAGAAAAATAATTAAAAAAATTATAAAATTTTTATAAAATAAAAAATTATTTTTTTTTTTAAATTAATAAAAAATAATAAAACTCCATAAAAAAATAAGAAAAATGGATGTCTTTCCCCCCGCCTGTACTACCCCCTGCACCACCATTTCAGTTTTTTTATTTTTTTTTTGAAAGTAAATAAATAAATAAATTATTATTTTCGAAATATTTTTTATTAATTTTTAGTATTTTTACGAATTTTTATTACTTTTAGTCCTATTTTGATAATTAACTCTTTAAATATACATATTAAAAAGTTTCTAAAACTAAAATTAAATAATTTTTGAATAACATAAAAGAATTAGAGGGAACACGTAAGTGAAGTTAAAATACTACGTAGTATATTAAAAAGTAAAACCAAAACAATTATTAGAAGCTCACATGTATTTACTCGTTGTCTCCATCTTATCCGTATTCTTACCTTTTATAATTGCCTCCGACTCTCCGAGTACTGCACTTGGTTTGTATTGACTCCGTATAAATTTCGATGTTCACTAATCTTACCATTATAGAAAAAAGGTTAGACTATTACAGTCCTCTAAACCAAAATAAAACAACTTTTGTCCCAAAAACAAAAAATAAACAGAGTTTGGTCCCTCCTTCTATAGTTAACTCATCATTACTTTAGCATGAAAGCCTGCTAAAGTGCGAGAGATACAAAAGAAAGGAACGAAATCAACTTTTCCCCTTTCAAGTGTCTACAAAGAGCTTAACTTTACAACGCTCTTTCTCACACATAACCCTATTCCTGGGCCACCACAATCTAGCTACTCCGATTCCTCTTCGCATCTCTAATCCTTTTTGCGGCAGTTCACACTTAAGCTAATCACAAATGAGATCGCAATGCAAGTCTTGATTGGAAATGTCATATTTTTATGGTCCTATTTGATAGTTTTGCGTTCTTGAAAGATTTGGGTTTGTTGAGTGAGAGAGAAAGATGGAATCTTGCGAGCAGCAGATGCGATCGGTGGCTGATACGAGAGGGAAGCATCGGATTTCAGCTGAGTTGAAGCAGCTAGAACAAGAAGCTCGTTTCTTGGAGGTCACTCTCTTCCTCCCTCCCCGACCTTCACTTTGACCCCTTTCTATGTTTTCGACTTTAAAATACAATATTTTGTCCTGCAATTCTTGGTTATTTGAAGCTATCCTCGATTTATGTTGTTTACTGAAGTTGGTATTTGTGGTTAAGAACAAATGGCTGAAATAACTTTAAAAAAGGTAAAGAATTGTTGGTTATTTGATAGTTTATACTTTTTAGTTTTTAATTTGTTATTAATTTTGTCATTCTTGAATTGTGATGAGTAACACTGAATTTGAAGCTTTATAGTTTCGGTTAAGGGTAGGAAGTTAAGAAACTTAAAGGGAACTTATCTTTCTGGAACATGTTTAAGTTTTTCCCTTGGGAACATATTGAGGGAAAGATAAAGAAAGCTATTATTGCAGGAGGTACTGGAAAATGGAGAGGAGAAGGAAAACAGAAGTTATAATTCAGTTAAGAATCTAAGTTTCAGTTAATTATCATCTCTGCAACTGTTTGGTAGGAATGCTGCTTGTTGTATGGTAATTGGTAAACCTTTGGCATTTATAGATAAAGGGAGAGTGAGGGAGGAGTGTAAATGAACTATAAATATGGTTATGCATGGGATGGTTAAGGAAAATATAATCTGTAATTCCTCAATAATTCATACTTCATAGAAATCAGATCTTTTGTCTCATGTTAGCCTGCTCTAGTCCCCTTACAAAAGTTACTCAATCTATTTAGATTGGAATACCCTTATACCCACTACCCGCTTCAAATTGATCAGATATGGATTCACTACAATTCATCGGTATAGAAATTAGCCTTTTAAAAATAGAGGTTTTTTCGATTCTTGTATTTGTGTTTTGCATCTGCCCTAACTCCCCCCTAAGAATGTCTCAGAGTGGTGATATTCTAAATGCTCCGTATTTATTAGTTCTTACTTGGTGTCTAAGCCTTTGGCTAGTGGAGTAATGTGAGTCCAACCTCTTACATTCTTCTCCTTCGTACAAATCGCTCAATACCAAACCATTTCTTCTCCATTCTCCTCCTACCAAACAGCATACAAAATCTATCCATTTCTTCTAAGCCTTTGGGTAGTGGAGTAATGTGAGTCCAACCTCTTACATATTTCTTCTCCTTCATACGGATCACTCAATACCAAACCATTTCTTCTCCATTCCCCTCCTACCAAACAGCATACAAAATCTATCCGTTTCTTCTCCCATATTTCTGTCTCTCCCCTTTCAACTGAACCAAACCGATGCTAAATGGTTGAGGACTTGAAAGCATGAGTTTGCTTTTTTTATGATAATAGTGCACAATGACATTCTTGATGTTTACATTACTGTGCATGATTTGTACACTCTATGAGGTTCAAATGCAGTGTAAGGATAAGGGGAGAGAATCTTATTTTGAGCATTGATACTCCTGAAGTCCCAAAGTAATACTCCCATTGTTCTATGAGAAGTGAGATATGTGTATAATACTACATACTAATTTTAGTCTTAGCCTAATAATTAGGAAGCCTTTTTTCATTTTTCACTTTCATTTACATATTTTGCCCATCATTTCCTGGTGAAGTAGAGAATAGAGATGTAGAGGCAGGCAGCATGTGCGAATCAGCACACTTCTATGCACTGTCCTAGTTATTTAGGATCCGTTTGGTAGCAATAATCGGCTTATTTATTCTGACCAGCAGAATAAATTTATTTTGACTTAGTTGTATGACTGTAGGACTTGGTAGCTAATTGAGAATCTCAACTATCAATTGAAGCTTGGTAGCTTCGTGGCTGTTCAGGGTGAAGCTTGGTAGCCTTTCTTTTGGGAATAAGGCTTGGATGTTGTTGTTGTGATGACTTAGTTGTATGACTGAAATGGATGTCACCAAGCACTACTATTACCTTAAAAAATCATTAGATTCGGCTAAAATAAGCATTGCCGAACAGACCCTTACTACTTCAATGTAGTGCATCTTCTAGGGGACTGGAGAGGTGGGATTCTCAATTAGCTACCCAGTGCTACAACCACGAAGCTACCAAACTTCACCCTAAACCCCACTGTAATTATTTCCTACAGATCAAATATTATTTGGTGATATTTTTGAGCTGATCTTTCTGACGATGTTAAACTTCTTCAGGAGGAACTGGAACAAGTTGACAAAATGGAGAAAGCTTCAGCTGTTTGCAAGGAGTAAGTAAAAGAGGATAATATTTAGATTATCAGTGATTTGTTTGTATCTGGGAACAGGGAACTATCATAATATCATATATCTAACTTGATCATCATTTCGCTTGGACTCTAGAATATTGGTTAATACACAAACCAGACCGGATCCACTGCTTCCAGAGTAAGGAATTTCAATTCTACATTCATTTCAAGTTAGTATCTTTTCTCATGAACCATCATGCAAATATTTTTATAACTTCTGTACCAGAACGACTGGCCCCACGAGTCCTCTTTGGGATCGGTGGTTTGAACGACCGCCAGATGCATCTAGCTGCAGGTGCTGGATACTTTGATTGTTCCACGCTGGATTAGACATTTTCTGATTTATTGGTGTATTCATATTCAACCCTCTTATAGCATGTTACCCTACTGAATTGATGTAAAGTGTGAAGTAAAGATTGTCTCCATGTGCAGAAAATTGTATTCTTTTTTTTTTTGTATTCCTTTTGGTTTATTCTGAGGAATTTGATGGTAATGATTCTAGATGATTAGCATTCTGCAGACACCAGATGGCAGACACCTGCCAAAAACAACTTCTATGGCTGCTATTTTTCTTGTTAACATATATTTACATAATGTACACCCTCAGTTCTTTACAGCAGTAATTGATTTTCAATTTCATTTATACCCTTTTAATGTTATGAGTGTTACTTGGTGCTATGTTTAAGAAAATGAAAATTATGTCTTGAAGAATCTGAACCATGCAAATATTCAAACTTTACTTGCACTCGAAAAGCATTACACTTACTAAGTTACTACTTACTAGTTTCTACGCATTATTTATGGATGACTCAAAAAAGATAATGTGAAGGAAAATAGGGCAATGAGATGAGAACTAAGCCATTTGTTGCATTTACTTATAACCAAATTTAAACCACAACCAACTAGGGCAGTAGAGTCGAATGCAGCTCTGGTCACTGGGTTTAAACAGAGCCATACTTTTTTTTTACTTAGGGTATGTTTGGGAGTTTAGGAGTGAGGGAAGAGAAAGGTTTTGTGGGGGAGTAGAAAGAGAGGAGGGGAGGGAGATGAGAAGGAATTCCTTCCTCTTATTTGGGAGTTAAGTTTGAGAAGAGGGGTTTAGGAGGAAATGTAATTAAAATGACACATCTACTCTTTATATTTTTGTTTGAAAAAATTACTCATGTATTTACTTATACAAATCATAATTTTTTTCTTAAATATGGCTATTTACTTTCATTCTTGGAAAATACTACGGAGTACTAATTGTGGCACTAATAATGTTGCATTAATATCAAGTAATCCTAGTACGTATGATTCCAAGATTACAATAATTTACTTATATTTAAGGGATAGTACCGAAAAGTACTTTATTTTTACTCCTATTTGACAAGTATTGATGGATCCAAAACATGAAACTGTTACGGATGCATTCTGGGGCAAATAATACAGCAGGCGACAGGGTCAAGAACGAGCCCAGAACGTTGCAGATTCATACTCGGACCGTGGGCCCAACTATATCGAGAAACAAAGTGGCTGAAAGAAAACTATTAATTAGTTATTACTATTATTCCTGTTTCAGTTTTAGGCAACTTCCTATTTATACTATTATTCCTATTTCAGTTTTAGGCAACTGACTAATTATTCTAGTATTCCTATTTTAGTTTTAGGCAACTGCCTAATTATTAATTGCCTTAGGACTCTTGTATCACCCTCTATATAAGGGTAATTATTATTATCAATAAAGGAACTTTTGGAAGAATTAATTTTGTGTGTCTTGACTAGGTCGGACATCAATTTAATTCCTGCTTAAGATTTCAATTCTTTAGAAGTCATAGATTCCTTCCCAGTCAATTACCTTCCCTCTGAATTACAGAAACACTCTCGTCCCTGGACGAGATCATTAACGCAGGTTCTTAACAATTTGGTATCAGATTCCGGGACGATGGGCAACGATGCAGCATGAGCCGAGGCATTGAAACACATGATTGAGGGCATGGACCAACGCCAGCTGACTGTGGAACACCAGCTGGCCGACCTGCAGGAGTGTGTCGCTAAATTGGCAGAATTACCGGCAACGATGGCCGCTTTGTCTGCCTCTGTCCAGAAACTGACCGCAGATTCCTCCCCAATATCTCCCCGCTTTGCTCGACAACACGAACGAGACTACCGACGGCAGGATCATGATGACTTAGTGGTTCCACGTTTTTCCAAGCTTGATTTTCCACAAAATGACGGTAAGAGCGACCATTTGCCATGGCTTAAACGTTGTGAAAGTTTCTTTGTTCACCAGCGTACAACGGCGCAAGCCCGTGTGGGTCTCGCAACGTTTCACATGACTGGGACAGCCCAGCTCTGGGTTGATCAACTTGATCCCAGTGCTACTGACATCCCTAGACACATGATGTCGAAACTTATATTGAGTTGTTTCAACAGTTGCTTGCCCGCACAGTTGGCATCTCTGTGCGCATGCAAGTTAAAATCTTCACTGCGGGATTACGTGAATCGTTGCGCTTGGAGGTTGAGTACCAGAATCCAGTTGATCTTAATTCGGCAATGATGTTGGCCCGTACTGTGAACCGCAAGTATGAACACCCGGAGACCAAATCTCGTTCCACTCTATTGGTTCCATCTGCACAGTACACGCGGCCACCGACACCGAATATGCCTGATCCATCCTTAAACCGACGGAAATCCACACCGGGGTTTAAAAAGATATCCCGCGCTGAGGCTGCCATACGCCGGGAAAAAGGTTTGTGTTATAACTGTGACGATCCGTGGATTCCAGGTCACCGTTGTAAACGATTTTTTTTATTGAGATTCTGGATGAGGAATCCTTACAGAGGAGCCAGATGAATATACAACCAGTGCTGAGCCATCCCTGTCTATCTTGGCTATGACCGGGTTCGGATCTTCATCCACCACGCAACTCTCAGCACGTCTCTATGACCGTTCCATCACTATCTTGGTAGATTCGGGCAGCACTCATAACTTCCTACACCAACGGCTACTTCCAACCACGGCGGTCCTATCTCAGGTTGGTAGTGCACTCTATGTACTTGTCGCTAATGGTGACCGTGTTTGCATAATGGGTACCTGCTCCAATCTCCCTTTTGAAGTCGATCGCAGACAATTCTCAGCAGATGTTTATGTCCTTCCACTGGTCGGGTTCGATATGATCCTTGGTGTTCAATGGCTCCGTGGTTTAGGTTCCATCGTGTGGGACTTTGAGAAACTCTCCATATGTTTCCAGTGGTAGGGCCATCCAGTAGAATGGCATGGATGGGCAGCAGGTCACTCCATTCATGCCCACAAGGCTGTTACCTCGCAGATGGAGACCCCGTCTCTGGATACAATGCTGAACAGTTTTTGTGACCTCTTTCGAGAACTCGCCAGTCTCCCGCCTCGTCGAACTCATGATCACCGTATTACTTTATTGCCGGGCTCAGGTCCCATGGTGGTTCAACCATACCGATATCCTTATTTCCAGAAGGATGAAATTGAAAAACAATGTTCTGAGATGTTACAACAGGGGATAATCCAGCATAGCCGCTATCCATTCTCATCCCCAGTTTTATTAGTCAAGAAGACAGATGACACATGACATTTTTATGTGGACTATAGGGAATTGAATGCCAAGACTGTTAAAGATAAATTCCCTATTCCCGTGATTGATGAACTGTTAGATGAACTCCATGGCGCCAAATTCTTCACCAAGCTAGACCTCCGCTCTGGTTATCACCAAATCCGCATGGATCCTAATGATGTCAAAAAACAGCATTTCGAACCCACCATGGTCACTTTGAGTTCCTTGTGATGCCATTTGGGTTATCTAACGCTCCATCTACGTTCCAGAGCCTTATGAATGAGATCTTTGGGTCTTACTTGCGCAAATTCGTATTAGTTTTCTTTGATGACATCTTGATCTATAGTAAGTCATGGGTTGAGCATGTCCATCACGTTCACCTTGTTTTTGAGATTTTACGCACTCACGGATTGTTTCTCAAACATTCCAAGTGTAGTTTTGGATCCCCGCAAGTTAACTACTTGGGACATGTGATTCATGGTCAAGGAGTTGAGGTTGATAAATCCAAGATTCATGCGGTTCTTGACTGGCCTACCCCAAGCACCGTAACTGCCTTGCGTGGTTTTTTGGGTCGTGCGGGCTATTACCGCAAATTCATACAAGGATACGGAGAAATTGCAAGACCACTCACCCACCTTCTCCAGAAAAATGCCTTTGTTTGGTCCCCAGCAGCAGCCACCGCCTTCACTGACCTCAAGCAGCGTTTGTCTTCAGCCCCAGTATTGCAACTTCCGGATTTCACAAGAGAAATTTTTGTAGAGTGTGATGCCTCTAGTAGTGGATTTGGGGCCATCTTGCAGCAAGAGGGTCATCCCATTGCATATTTTAGTTGGCAGATTGCTGCCCGCCATTCGAAAGTTGCGGCTTATGAGCGGGAACTAATCGGTCTGGCGAAGGCAATCACCCATTGGCGGCCCTATCTTTGGGGCAGAGAGTTTCTAATTAAGACTGATCATTCGAGTCATAAATATCTGTTAGAACAACGCCTCACTACATCACCACAACAACACTGGCTAAGCAAGCTTATGGGCTTCACTTTCCGGATCGAGTACAAACCAGGACGCTTAAATGTGATTGCAGATGCACTATCTCGCCAAGATGAACCTATAACGTTAGCAGCCGTCTCCATTCCATATACAACTATCATGGATGACATACGCCTCAAACATGCCACGTCACTTGAAATCAAGGCTTTATGTGAACAGTTGATGGCAGGGGTCCTTGATGCACACTAATTAGTAGTGCATAATTGCATGTTTTTATGTTTGATTTATGTTGATTGTTTGACATTTTATTTAGTTTGTAAACATTTATGTAATTTCAGTTGTAATTGTATTTTATTCTTTATTTATAAGTTGTAAAGTATAGTTAGGATTAGTGGTGTTGGAAAGGAAGACTTTGAAGAGAAGAAAACAAGAAATTTGACTGCCCAGGAGTGAAACCCGACCGGGTAGAAACCCCCACCCGGTCGGGTATGATTTAACAAACGAAATTGCCAAGAAAGTCACTGGACCCGGTCGGGTCCCCTACTTGACCCGGTCGGGTCAGATGTGACCCGGGACAAAACGACGTGCGAAGATCACCAGAACGTGGCAGATTATCTGATTTTGACTGGACCCGGTCGGGTAAGTACTTGACCCGGTCGGGTACCCGGCCAAAGGTGTTGAAAAACACCTATAAATAGCACACGTTTTCTTCTCTAAAAATCATCCCTTCTTCCATACTCTTTAGCTCAGTTTATAATAGCATTTCTTTATATTTTTCTAGCTACGTTTAGTCTCCAAATGAGGAGCTAAACTTCCATTCTTGGTGTTGCTCTTGAAGCTTGTTGATTATTAAAGTTGTGAGTTATTTTCTTAACTTCTTTCCTTGAATATTAATTAATAGTTCTTTCCTTAATATCATCTCTATATTAATGTTGGGGAGTGTTGCTAAGATGACAATTAGTTAACATCTCGACATTAGTTAGAATGGTATTTTCTTCCTCTATATTAATGTTGGGGAGTGTTGCTAAGATGACAATTAGTTAACATCTTGATATTAATTATAGTAGGATTCATCTTCTTTAATAATATTCTTCCTTGAATATTAATTAA